ATTTATAAATTGATTATAATTAAAAGAAAATCATTTTAGAGGAATAAAATTTTTCAAATTAGTTACTCTAAAATTTATTTCTAGACAATCAATATTAGCTGGTGATTTGGATAAAGCAAATGAAGAAATTGCAAGATTACGTAAGATGCTGCGTCGATCATTACCAAATGAAAATTATGGTGAAATTCATCAATCGAATCATACGGATCATACATCCACTACTACCTAAACAGATTATCGATGTACCTCGATGTATTATTTATCGATCCAGGATTATAATATGAACTTATATCATTTTACTCTTAACTATAATTTTTTTTTTTTGGGATAGGTAATGCTTTATTATAATTTTTTCATGTAATTCTTTCAAACTTACTGTACTAATCAGTAGATAGAAAATGAATAACACAAAATTTTTGTTTTCATCGCTTATATTATAATTATTGAAAACCCCTTACTGTCCGAAATGTACCAATTAATTGAAACTTCCAATTTAATCAAATATACGATTGTATACCTCCAGAACAATTTTACTCCTTGCATCATGTTCGTTTTTCCGTCTTTTCTTTTCAATTTATTTTTATGTGTTTTTATGAGTTAAAGAATTATGTTTTCCTTATGAAATGGAATTCAAATTTACAAATTTTATAAAATATTTGGTGTTGCCTGTATACGAATGCATCTTTCATCATGCTGTTGTAAAAATACTTTCCCTTCTTTGGTGTTATTAATTTGATAGAAAATATATTCTTATATTTTGCTACTTTTACAAATACTACACGTACATTTATGCGTAACAAGATAACAAACAAAAAATTTTTAAAGTTTCAATATATATACCATATCATACTGAAGACGAAATAAATTAGCCCCATTACCCCACTACTTTTATCATTCTGTACCAAATATTTATTAACTAATTTCAAAGATTTACGATTAATCATCCATTATCAATAAGGGAAGACATCAGGTTTCTGTTATTTCAAAATTGTCCTCATAATGAGCAATTACTACAATTTGGACCACATCAAAATTAATTAGTTTTGCGAGATAAGGAAAAAAGAAAAGACTATGATGATTAAAAATTATAGGCACTTTTTTTGTGGAAATTAAATAAATTTATGAACTAGAAGAATCACAGTACAGGACTGCTTACTGTTCAGATCAATGCTACTAAAGCGCTCCAGAACACTTTAGTAATACGATCAGGTTAACAAAATATCTTGTTTGTTAACAAATATCTTGTTTAACAAACAAGATATTTTTAACAGACTGACTGACTTAATTTAGAAGCTCATAATCTGTTAGCTTTTTATATCACCATGATTCCGTTAACGTCAATAATGTTAGTGTCTCTAACAACACCGCAAATTGATTCTTATGAAGTTAGATATTTTAAAAAAAACTTGTAAAAGAATCATTACAATCTACTCCAAAGTGAAAATTATAAGGACTGTCTATTATTAACCAACTTGTACATAACAAGTAAAATTTATAAGAAATATTTTTGTAAGAAATAACAACAAGTAAAATCTATAGGAAATATTAACAGAATAGGTCAAACAAACAAAGGTTAGTCCTTCTTTATATCCTTTGATGGTTCTTTATAATAGAGAAAAACACATGAGAACAGAAGGACTCCTATCATCATAGAAAATGCCGAAACATAGTAAGGATATGCGCTATAAATAAAACGTTCATACTGGGTATGTTGCAGTGGTCGAACAGATACCTAAAATTGAATTAAAATCTTTAGACCAATGATAAAAAATTAAAAAATAATATGGTTAAAAAACCAAACGAAATTCCACCTTTACCGATATATAATGATCCAATTTTATTCCCAAAGATGTCCACAGTTTCCCAGTTGCCTATCGAAATTGAAGACTTGTTATCTAGTCACTTATCTCATTCCTACATTTTATTATTTATCTCCTCACGCACTCAAATTAATCTTCAAATATCCAATAACATCTCAAAAGAACAGGACATATATTCATCGATTTTTTATAAGTCTCCCTTGTAGCTAACTTAGGAATACAAGACAGCTTAAGATGATAAAGTTTACTACTATTACGATATCTCACAAAAAATCGTTGTTCTTACCTGCTGCACATCCAACAAATGTGTATAGCCGATACGACGATAATCGACCACGAATTTGAACACACCATAAACATCAGGAAGTTTAAACTGTGTTTTTAATTTGCCATCTATAATAAGTTGTAAAAATAACGAAATAACAGAACTGTTTCATGTAAGTGATAACGTATTTGAATATATAAAAACAATTCAGGAAATTCCATTTTCTGCAATTTAGAGAAATATCAACTTTCTACAAAACTTAACCTGAATATTTTGGCATATTCCAGAAATGTCAGTGATAAAGAATAACAGAAAGGAATCAATCCTTCTAGTTATCAATTCCTTTTATAGTTATGTGAATTGAATCTATCAAACATTCTATCCAATGAAATTATTGTAGCAAAGGTTCGAAAACACTTTTAAAATTAAAATGAAAATATACTGTGATTTTTGAGAGTTATCCGAACAAATGGATCAATGCGAGTAAATTCTAGTTGAACATCATTCCCTTTGAATGGTTCCCATTTCCCATTATTGAGCTCTTCAATTTCGATTGCATACTCAACATTATCCAGTATTGTATATTCTCGTGGAGGATTCTTTTCACCGATCTGTATGTAATAAGTAATAAAAATTAATCCTGTGCTTTGCGCTTACAAGTTTACTCAGTCATATAGCAAATTAATTCAAGCAAATTCTCAGTCTCAATATAGCAAATTAATTTCATAAAATTAATGCTTTTTTGAAGTCAGATTAATAAAAAAGTTTACTTGTCATAGCATCGAGGAAAATAAAAAAAACAGGTATACCTTATGATGCGAAACATTCTTAACTCTCAGCACACCTTTCTCCATAAATACCCATTTGCTCAGTTCAGTTAGTAACTCGAAATTTCCACTTTTCTGAACTCTAAAACAAATATTCATATGCGGCTAAATGACGACGCGATTGATTTGGAATTATATTTATCGAATGACTGAAAAAATCCTAATCCTTGGTAATTAAAAATCTGGCATGAATTAAAAAATAATTATTGTCAAAATAATTCAAAATACGTTGTTGAGCCATATTTGCTGACATTTGCACCGAAAAAAGCATCGCTAAACATGGCAATCGAACCAGTTAATACAACACGCGCATTATTCCGTGCTTGAATGGCACCAATCAACAATGTTGAGCGCCCCACAGCACCTGGATACTAAAATGAAGAAGACAATCAAAACGTTAGAGTTCGAAGCATAGAAAACTCTCCATAACGCCGCAAATCCTTTTTTTAAGAATTTAAGTTTAAATTTAAATTTGAATTTGATATTGATATTTTAATTCACAAATTTCAAATTTTGTGCTTTTGGAGCAAATTTTTGTCATCGAATCTTCTTTGACAGTAGCAATCTTAATTACTCAAAAAAAAAAACTCATTTGTAAATAACAAGGAGCTGCTAAACAGACCCAGACTAACGGATTAGATCATACTTCATATTAGCTCTTGCTTATAAAGCACATTTATCTCTTCCATTAATTTTCCATTTTTACTTTCATAACTTAACTAAAAATTCTAAATTTAAAAACATACTTCTTCAACTTTTTCACGAGGATTGAATGAATAAGCAGTTGTTGAAGCAGTAAGTATTTCCAGACGAAGTTGATTTGTCTTATCAGCGATTAAAGCTACACCACGGAACAGAATAGGATTAGCTTCCCGTGATTTCCCTATAATCATTAGAGCAGATAAAAGGTTTGACGGATCAGCTACAATTGTCGTATGATCTCCTTCATCCTGTAATTTATTTAGTAAAGCTGATAAATATTCATTCATGAACAATTCTTAAACAAGTTTTCAAGTGCTATTAAAAATTATTTGTCAATAAATTCTCTAATTAATTTGAGTTCATCAATCTTTCGTCAAAAAAAGAGGATCGTCAAAAAAGCCATTTTTCTTATTTTTATCGGAAAAGCATCTGCAATAAAGAGAATGACTGACAAAATATAAGTAAGAAGTTTCAAAAGCATAACATACGAAATTGCATACATAAAACTATAAATTAAATTATCCAGATAAACGTATCTAGTATTAAAAAAGCTCTTTAAATAGCTGTCAAGACAAGATGAGCATAATTCTAAATAAAGTTCAATTTAAAAATTAAATGCTTACAAGAACGGTGTCATAATTCAAATGATCAATAACAGCAGTTCGATTCTCATCAAATTCAAAACCATTCTCTGCAGCCAAATCATGTAAAGCATCACCAACACGTGTACCCGCTGTCACCAATACGTTGCCACCATTATCAATAAAAGAAGTTATAGCTTTGACATTAATCGTTCCTCCAAATTCTATAAGGAGATTAACAGAAATTTGTGGCTTCAATGTTTATAAACCTAAAATTTCTAATGTCGACGTTAGTAAAGATTTTAATTTAGCAATAGCCGAAAACCTGCCAACTCTCTTTATTTTGAAGTATAATCTAATCAAAGTAATACAAATATTCGGCACGCAAGAAAAATGAAAGACACGATTTTAAAAAGAATAGATTAGCGTATTTTTTATCTTTTCGACTAGTTTCATATTGCATCGCAGAGATCTCTTCTGAATATCATGTTCAATATCTTTTATTAGCGCATTTCGCTTGATCCTTTGAATTAGTGTCATACTGTTTTAAGCCCTGAAGTAGGCAACAAGCCCAATCTTAACTTTGTCAGTGAATGGTAAGAATTTGCTCCCAAATCGTTCTGCCCAGCAAAAACATATCTGCGCTATTCTTATGTTTAATAATTTTACGGTTCCATAAAAGAAGAGAAGAGATCTCTGCAATTTAATGAAATTCAAAACATAAACCATCGTCTTCTCACTCAATGAACCCATTTTTCGACTTAAAAAAGAACAGGAAAAAAAATTCTGAGATTCGAGCTAATAAAAATATCACGTCGTTTTCTCATCATGCTTGAAGTATCAAGAACACAAGCTTTGTTCCCTGACAGATATTTGCTAAAAAATGTAAATTCAAGGACATCTAAAGATAAAAGACTGCTAAAAAATTAGAACGCTACCGTCAACTCCTGGAGCAAAAATGATAAGATGATCGTAGAGATGTTCACCATATTTTGTAAGAGTCAATGTCTGATCATCCGCTGCTTTTATAGTTAGCTGATGTCCTCTTTCTGAAATATGAAACAAATTATATATTGCTAACTAATAAAAAAAATTTCGAAACTTATTTGTCTATGATAATTTTTTTGACAAATTATCCACTGAGTCATTTCATGCATTATTTATCGATTGTTGCTGACTAATCAAACTTCCCCTTACTGAATTATACATCCACTAATTTTACAAATGTTATTTTTCATTTGTTAGTAGAAAAAAACAAGCAAAAAAAATTTTAAATGAGGATCATATTTTGACGAAAAGGTGACCACACTGTTACTAAAAAATTAGATTACTGATTCGAATAAATTATTCATTACTTACCTTTTAGGGATTTTAAGAAAATCGAATGCGTTTCTCTAATATTTAAATTATCAACCAAAATTAATATTTTGCCTGCGCTGATAACTGATACAATTTGCAATAATATTACCAAAACACCAATGAACAATAAACGTTTCAGTGATGTCGCCATATTAACACTTCTAAATTTTAGTGTTGAATTGTTTACATTTCAACTCATAACCATGGCAAATTGATCAAAAACCCTAGCATTCATATTCAATCCTTCGTTCGCAAAAAACCGCGCCATATCCATCTTGCTCCACATGTACGGCAGAAAATAAGACAAATGATCAGCCAGCGCTAATACCTTTCTAGCTTTTCTGAGTAGCATAGTTTATAATGAAGCTATCGAGATAAGGACGAACAATAAAGTCTTAAACGTATCGCCATCTCCAAATTATGAACAATTTTATCTAAACTATTGTCTTCTCTATTCTCCTCTTCAAATAGAAAGCTATGTTATACCTTAATTGATAAATTTGTACGTATCATGCAATGAATTTAAATTCAATATCAAACTAAAAAAAAATATTTGTTCCTTTCAACATCCAAAATTTTCAAAAAATGAAAGACTTCCTCAATTTACTTGCTAAACATTAAGAAATCCATTCTTCATTTACCTACTAAGATTAACCATACGAAAACTTGATGAAATTGGAACTTATATCCAATTTTCTTCACTTATTTCCTGAACAGCATTGAAGAGAATATCATATGTTGTTACCCGGTAAAACATCTTTTCTACTATTACTACGTTTTCAATTGGTAGACATGCTTAAGTATATAATTTGGTACAATGCCAAATTTGAGTTAAAAACAAAAAAATTAGGAAGGTAGTGAAAACGATTAATTACTTTTTATTCTGCTTGCATTGCTAAGTAAATCACAGCAAAAAAGCATAAATCACAAACTGCATGAAGATTTCAAAGAGTACTACGACGAAGTAATCAATTGCAGACGTTGCTGATGATAAATTTTCTTCTGCTGTTCGTTGCTTCACCTCTCCGCATAACAAGTACTTTTTCGAGTTTACAACAACAGATATATAAATCAAAAATAAGAAAAGGAACATGACAGCAGCTTGATTAAACGAATATAAATATAATAGAATGAAAAAATAGTGAAAAATGATAATGAACGTACAATAATAGACGATGAAAGAGAATGGCATAAAAAATACACATTAACCACATCTACAGAACTTTATAACCGTAACTGTAATCACTCACCTCACGAGACCTTGCCATTTACAGTGACAATTGATGGAATTGCTGAGGCACTTCATATTCTATGGATACATCATCTAAAAAACTTTAGCATTGTTTGAGACACATTAGTTATTTGGCCAAAACACAAAGAAATAAATAATTTGAAATCGAAAGTATTATTTTCCCCTTTTATTTAACTATGACTTTAATTGATGGTACATTAAATGGAAAAATCTGACAATAGGAAATCTAGTTGTACAGCCATGCATATGGATACGTCATATCAGAAGGCGCATCACAGAAATACCTACAATTCTGGTTGTTACCATTACATAAATTTTCCATAAATTCAGGCAAAATACACTGAAACACTTCTTGCTCGAAAAGTAGTACCTTTTTCGCTTTCTGAAAAGCATAAATTCGCCCAATATAGCTAATGGAACAGAATGGCACTTAACCGAAAGAATAAATCTTAACTTCGGGAGCTTTTCTTCCAACTGTTTTTTCTTTGCACTATCAAGTAACTTACTACCTAGTATAATTTCCTGAGAACAATAACAAAATGACCTTTCGAAGACCATTTCGATGGCGGCCCAGGTTTGGTAGCCAATTCACAAACTCTTATTCGACGTTCAGTATCCGGAAGACTTCTCAACATATCCTCGATAATTTCGCCTACTGATTTCGTTTGATGTTCTTTTAACATTTCACGAGCATATTCAGCTGGAGAAAGTAAAAGTAGCAAAATGGCTATTAAAAGTCAAATGGAAAATCAGCATTTGAAAAACACAAAGTCAAAGTTCTGAAAATATCAAAGCCAAATATCAAAACCACCCTCTTTCTAAGCCTGGTTATATTACTAGCTAAGTGCAAAAATGTCTTAATTTCCCTGATGTAATATATTTTCAAACAAAATTGTGAAAATCTTCCTGTAAACTACGAAATTTCTTTCGATATAGTGTGTTTCGTCTTCCAATAATTCTCTTTACACATATTCTGAACATAAGTGCAGACGGAATACATTCAAAATATTACAAAGGAGAATCACAAAAAGAACTTACAAAACATTTTTTTAGGCGGGCAAAGATTCGGGCAATAAGTTAACACGCTACATATCAGTTCTTCATCGGACAGTAAATAATCTTCTTCATGTTGCCTGTAAGTGTTAGTAAAATCACATGCTAACTTTATACACATATTTCACCGACCTTTTGCAACATGATAAACAAACGAACATTGAACATGTTGAATCAGCGCATCTTCCTAGTAATTCATAGTAACAAAGCGGTTTCAATGGATCCAACTTGTTTGACAAAGCTCTATGAGCTATCAGATGGTAAGGAAATGTTGGAGATATGCTGAAATTGGCTTGACTGATAGAAAGCAAAATCAATGCTGAAATTACTTGTCTTGTTTAGTATATTAGATTTATCAAGATTTCTCAAGAATCAACATAACATGATTCTGCAAGCATCACTATTCCCTTTGCTATGATTTTGTGGGGCAAGGTAGCAGCCACTTGCTTTTACCAAATTTTGCCAGTCTAGAAAAGTTATTCAGTCCTGAAATGGTTGAAACATTTTAAAACAATAGTTTCACCATATTTCTATAATATAGCTATTCAGCTGCACGTAAAAAGCATCATGAAATGTTCCAAAAAAGCAGGATAAGAAAATTAAGGAATAAATATGAAAAATATTCATATATGTTAAAAAATATTTTTGCACTAAGGAAGCAGTGATAAATATAAAAATTAAAAGTATAAAATCAATTATTATTTGAAATTGTATGCACGTACCGATACCCGTTAAACATAATCAATGGATTATTTTTAAGTTCATTAATATCTTTTTCGCTTAATGTTACAGTACTGATCCTTCGTTCTCTCTGTTGACTTTCTTGGCAATCATTTGAGTTATTCACTGCTGCAGCTTCTGCAATGAAATTTGCTTCCACCTCTTCCTGCTCCAACTCACGCATTGCTGTGATAAGACCATTCATTGAATCGCTCGAATCTGATAATTCAATTATATCTGAGTCCCTGAAAATCCTGTCAATTGTCCCACTGTCAATCCAACTAACTTTTTCGAGAATTCATACCTGGTATGCCGAGAAAGTAATTAACTATACAGCAGGCTAATACAATTCGCATATTATAGATTTAACTCATATAATTTATAATTAATGAATTCAATTACATTTTTGTATGCTGAACTAAACGATAGTATGAATAGATTCATGCAGCTGAATAATTTATATGTGTTATGAATTTACTAGTATTTCTGGTTTCTTAATCAGCTATTTTGATAAAAAAATGAAGCAAAATAATCAAAGCAAAACAATATGAAATAATAAACCCCAAGATATCTATAGAAGAATGATGTGATCCACTACTACTACTTCCAGGTCTTGAAACATCATCTCGGTCATCAGAATAATCCATCGCAATAGTCGTATTCAATGGTTCAGACTGTTCTAAAACACGCGCTTCTACTGTTTTCGATCCTTCGACATCATTTTTCGATTTGGTCATTATTTGAGCAGGATCACAAGAATGTCCATCATCCTTGTTTATATTTTTCATCCATTCAGCTTCTTCTATTAATCTTTCAATTCGTTTGGTTTCTTTTTTAAATGTCTTTCTCTCTGTTTCCTTGCAGTTCTCTTCAAACTGTGCTTTACTTAACTGCCGTTCCAAATACGATAAACGTCCTTTAATCTTTTCTTGATCACATCTAAGTACTTCCATCTCCGATTCAAGAACACCAAGCTGACGAGCACAATGATTCGCTCTCTCCTAAAGAATTGGATAAAGAATTATTTATAAACTGAGACTTTAAAATCGCAAAAATCATAAATTAAGTAGGACCAACAGTTTATCAGAATATGTCATTCATATACCATCCACTATACATCCTTTTATAAATCTCGCTATTGAACTTCATTCATCGATAAAATTACCAATGATTCGGAAGCCTAAGCTTGATGATAATCACAGTGCTCGATAATTTGTGTCTCAATCCTTTTACAGTCACACAATCATAATACCGTTCGGGTTCATAAAATTAATTCTAACTGATAATGAAAAGCAATAAAAAGTTTAAGATATCATGCTAACCAAAAAGCTATCACGTCTTCTTCTTGTGACACATTTTTGATCGTCACGATGCCTTAATTTCCTTTCAATTTCTTTCAACATTTTTTTTTCATCATCAATCATACGTTCCCAATCTTCAGCCTTTCTTCTTTCTGTTCCTGATACATCGCCAAATTCATTCTTTGATTTCCAATGTAACCTGTATTACACGTGCAGATAATAGAATACGGAACTACCTGGATTTAAAGCCATCTAAAGTCATTAAACAACCACTAAATAATCAATAATTGACAAGCAAACAAACAAACTATTATCTCTGGCTCAACAAATTTGCCTAAGTGAGACAGACCTGTAAAATCAAGTAGCAGTTTAAAATTTTGGTAATTATTTATCAAACAGGATATAAAGACAGGCAGGATATATTATAATTCTGGAAAGGATTTAAAAATAATTATTAAACTCATTTACCTTTTGGGAGCAGTTTCTCGAAAGTTTTCCTTTCTTTTTCGTGGGAGCTTGACGCGATGGTCTTGACCCGGTCCATCACTGCCACTTGATGGAGATTCATCCTTCCTTGAACGCTGAAACTTTCTTGCATCAGTTAGGAATCAAAATAATAACATCTAATGAATGTGTTTTGTTCAAAACAAAATCAACAAACCTTTCGATCTATCACAGATTTCCGGTTTTGTTCTACAATATTTTTAAGTCTTTTAGAACTTTTAGAACAATGCGCTTCGGTCCTAAAAAGAAATATTGTGTAACTCATAAATTCAATGAGTTTCGTTTAGCACTATGATTTGTTGCTTATTCGTTTTTGACCTGTAATTGGTTGAACTTCAAACACCTTTGAAATGATTCAAACATTTGGGGAATCTTTGCGACAAAATACCTGTAACTAGAACTTGGTCCTTCGTTACTACGATGAGCAACTCGTTCTTCTGAATTTGTACTGCTTAATTCACCTTCTTCAAGTGTTGATTTCAACGATTTTAACTTTTCGTCGTTCTTTTTTTGCATTATCTCCAAATAAAATTAATTTTTTCGGTGTCAAAATAATGTGAGAGAAGATAAAACCAAAAATTAGGTAAGCGTACGTATTATGAGAAAAAAGTGGAGATAAGGTCGAAACCTACTATTCCATTTTTTGGAGAGGGGAAAGGAAGAAGCTAAGTCACCATATATCAACATTGAATCATGTCATTATGATAATATATGCTATGTCGAATTATTCCTAATGACGGTATAAAATAATAGCCGTAAGTAGTCAATATTTTTAAAAAAGAATGTTATGCTCACCTGTTCTAGGAGTTCAGCACGTAGCTGATCAACATCCTCTTCGTTATCAACACCATCGGATGGCACTCCATTTAGGGTTTGAATTTCATGAGAACAAACAGTCATAGCATTAGCTAACGGTGATATTGGTGACGACCGCGAACGCGAATCTGAATTTTGCAAATTATTACATTTCAAAAAACCTTCAACGTGATAATAGCAGAGTCACTTAATGAGTAGTAAAAGTACAAGTTCCATAAGTAATTTCTATGTTTTTCTGTTCACTTAATCGAATGCACTCGTTTTAACTCAACATCTAGTATTAAAAAAGCAGTTGTATCAACAATTTTCATATGTCATAAAAATAAACGCATGAAGTTCAATTTTACGTAAAAAATGCAAAAAAAGGAAAATTTTTTACGCTAATGTATCTCATCTATTTGTTTGAATCGCTTCCATCCTAAAAAAAAAAACTTTTGTCGCCTTATATAAAAAGCGTACAACTTTAGAAAAAATGATACTGAATACCTCGATCACTGTCTACGATATCCATTCCAACTTGCTCATAATTATCTCCCAAATTTTCTTTCTTCGAAAACTTATTTGCTTCTACCCTCAATCGAAGTCGATGCAGCTGCTCCTCAAATCTAAAAAAACAGATTAATTACAAACGAAAAGCATTGCCTTCCTTTATTTTTAAATTAAAGATATAAAGAAACAAATGGCTGTTTCTCACAGCCAATCACTCAAAAAAAAAAGAGTCGGAGATGTAACACCAAATATGAACAACATTCAGCAGACATAAAGAATTTCATACTGCAAGAATCACAAAAAGAATCCACTGTTCATAAGTTTGCAAACATTAAAGGTTTCATAAATCGCTACAGCAATAGCTGAGTTCTCATTTTCTAGGGAGAAATCATTTCGATCAGCATACTACATTTTATTGTTGCAACTAAAAAAAATAACTACGATAAAAAGTTGGTTTCAATGACTGAAATTTTACGGGTTCGCAAATTGTTTCGCAGCTGTTTCCAACATCTCCACACTACTGATTGGTATGGCGACTTCCTGCTGATTATTTAGGAAGGAGTATGAATAACCACTTGCGTTATCATTCCGTACCGTAACCTTGAGCGGTACTGCCGTTCCATGAAATTTACGACTATTCATGCGATTTTGCATATCATTATACCTCTGATCTTGGTTATCTGCAAAATGCTGGGAAAGAACTGAGCAATATTTGTTAAAATATTACAGGCTTGCTTCTCTTATTTAAAATTATACCATCTCTTTTTCATAAATTTTGAAATTTTTTTAATTCAACAGCACTTAATCTACGTATCATATTTCGATGCCCTTAGCTAAAATGGTTGATTTTATTTTATTTTTTTTTAACTTTTTAACATATAAACTCCATAACTCATACTGGTAAAACACTCAGCAAACTTACTTTGCTTCCTTTTCAGTGGCACCCAAGTATGTCCGGAATAACGCAAGTTTATTTGTTGATCTCTTCGTATCTCGTAAGAAGTATCAACTGGAAATAGATAAAAGTCAAAGTTGAAATTTTTTAATTAATTTCTTCACGTATTTCTACAGCAATATATATTTTTAGTCATTTAGTTGGAACTTCAAAAAAATTATATTATAAGACATCCAAAAATTTACTGAGTTAAAGATAAATATAAATCAAAAATGTTGCGATGGAAATTAGAAGGTTAGAAAAGATTTTAAAGTCTAAAGTAAGAGAACAATAATTTCAATTGTTACATCGCCTTTGATAACATTTTTATCAGGTATGTATATATATATATATATATATATATTCTTACTGATTTCTCCCTCTTCTGCTTCGTGTGATATAGGTCGTCGTACAAATCTTTTGTCCTTGCTTGTATTTAACACCGCTAAACGTAGAGCATTCTCATCATCCGAATTCACATTTTCAAGTGAGTGTTCAGCAGAGGCTAAACTTGTGAATCCTGCCCTATATGTTGCCTCCTGAAAATTAGCTCTGGTACCCAAAAAAGAATCAGTTATTACTACTGGATCAAGTGAAAAGTAATGCATGGTATTTGTTTCCATGAAATGAAATTAGTGAAAAATGGATTGCTTTTCTTCCAAAACCTCTATTTGAAATAGTAACTGTGCAGGAACTGAAACAATAAGTACCGAATATGACTGACTAGAAGCGATAATGTCTAAAGAATACTTTTGAAGACCTGTATTTCACGAATAATACTGTCTACTTCACGTTCTTGTTCCTCCTCCAGACTTGCCGATGAAACATGCGTCATATTCTCTGCTCTTATTTCCATTGACGTACTCCTATAACTACCGCACATATTTTTAAGAAAGACTGTTACTGCAACAAAGTTACATAATAACAGTTTTGTGTGTGAAAGCGATGCTAAAAACTTCACGTATGCAAATTTCATGCAAAATCAAAAACCCTTGGTAAGCTATTATCCGGATTAAAATACTTTCTTATAGTACTGCGGAATAAGCTATCAGAATAGTAACGCCGTAAAATCTTAAAAATATATAATAAACCAATATCAAACTAAAATATTTCCATGCTACCATTCTGTAGATAATAATTTAGTAAAAAAATATTACAAATATGCATTAACGAATAAAATACTGACTAGAGAGCAGTAAGTATCAAACTAATTACTTACGACTAAAACACCACACAAATGGTAAATTTTACAATAACCAAATGCCGAATCGTCTCGAATATTCTGTAACTACAAAGGCCTACAAAAGATCTAGTAATTTCAAAAGATCCAATAATAATGTTTTGTATTAATGAAGAGTAACAAAATGAACGATGTAAAAATTTCAGATTTATCTAAAAGAAAAAAAAACCCATTGGAATATAGTAGTGTTAATGATAAATTTGTCGATGTAAGTTTCGCTTATCATCTATCTCGATGTTTCACTGCGTATTAAATCACACATAACACATAATCACACACAACGTAGTGAGACTAAAACGGCAAAGTTAAGGGTAGATGAAGAAATAGAGAAGGTGAAAGGCCATTATATAATTATAAATAACATCTAAAGTATAACAATAACCGTTGTCACAACTATTGGCTACAGGTCATTTCTTAATTTCTTTTCCTATGAGAAAAACATAGCAATCACGCATATCACAAAGATTTAAAAAAAAAAACTAAGTTATAAGCAAAAATCAAAAAAATTCCATCAAATTATAACATTTTCATTCTCTTCCTACCAATATTGTTAATTTCATCTAACATATCAACAATTTAACGGTCTATCTTCAAAGCAATAAATGCGAAATTGTAAGCTTCAAACTTTTTCTCAATTATTATCTGTGATATCTGATGGATACGGTGAGTAAAGTCTGTATGATCATAATAAAGTTTATCCCATTAATAGAATTCAACAAACTGAACACAACTAACATTAACATATTTCAGATGATTGTCATAATTGTAAAAAAATAAACCTGCGAATGTCGCTCAAATCATCATCTTCAATTTCACCATCTTCTAATGCAGTACCACTTGCCATTTTTCATTATCGCAGTATCCGCTCTGTAGACTCCTAAATATTTAAATTTATTTCGTTATACATATATCATTATTATTATTATTATTATTATTCATATGTGTAATTTAATTATATTCATACAAAATTACATACAACTGATGACTAATGTAACCAATCACTTATAAATTTGATATCTAATCACTAACATAATTAGTGATTAGATATCGATATGCAATAGTAAAATATAACTAATTAAGTATATATTTAGTTACAAGTAAAAAGGAATGAAGAGGAACGAGAGAAACACCACACAACTCTCAAATCAACCACAACGCCGGCCACTTCCTCGATCAAACCAAAAATATAAGTCATCGGCGCGTCATGAAAATCTTTTGTTTCATCATATTCAAAAAAAATTAGTTGAATGATTCAGAAAGACGCACAATTTGAGCATACTTTGGCAAACATCAAAGAATCTTTGTTGCTAACATGAGAATGCAACGGCTTCCCATTATGATATTAAACTTTTTATTTTCTTTATTCTTTTTATCATTCGATATTTTTGCAGGAATGGTAGGAACTTTTTTGACAAGTAACGATTCATAGATGAACGAATATTTTACACGTAGAAAATGCGTCCACAATGTAAATGAATGATTTGTAGTTAATATAATAAAGTGTCAAAAGATATTTCTAATCTTTTTTGTGTACTCTTTTTTTTCTAAAGTTCACGTCGTATAGCTTCAAATTTAAAATCCAAATTATATCAAATCAATTTTAAATGTTAATCACAGTTTATCTGATAGGAAATGTTTATGAATATTTCCAAATTCCATTTAATCTTTTCAAAGAATCAAGTATGTTTCAGGTGAATAAATCTTATACTAATAATTTAATTAAATATTTTTGAACTGATCGAACCATTTGTCGTGTAAATTTAAGTACAGTGAGAATTATCATACCGTAGTTCATCATATTATATACCTGTTGTTGTAGAAATGCATCCTGAAAATAGGAATATTAAATAGTATTGGTAAAAACTGGTGTAAGTAATCCATAGAATGGGCTAAATAATCCGTGAAATAAAAAAAAGTAATCTATAAATTGGACTACAGTGTGTTATGGTATAATTTTGTCTATAATAACATATATCAATCAAAATTTAATTGAAAAAAGTAAACATTTTTTAATTCGTTTTATAACTTCTCGCTGTTTTACTTAATAGTGATATTTCATATATTTTATGGAAACATTTCATACAGTATGGAAGTGGACTGTAAAAATTTGTCGATATATCGAACTGTTAATTCATAATTTTAAATTGTAGATTGACTTAAACCTTTGGCAATTCAACAAAAACTGTACTCCCTGTTATCTAATTAATTAAGAAGAAAATATTAATGCACGAAATTCTCTTAATGATTTTAAAACGATAGCAATTGAGAACGGACACATGAATACCTCTAAAAGTATGACTTACTTTTTCTTTGATAACTGTATTCTTGTTTCAATAAAGAAGGCAAACTTATATTGGGACTAAATTGTGAAATTCAATTATTTCAAACTAAATTCGTTAATGTGAAGTTTTCATTTCAAATAAAAAATTGCGAGTTTCAGTTTTATAGCTTGTTTTCTCATTTTTAAGATTGATAATTATTATTTGAAAATTAAAATGATATAGGTGTAAACGGAGGAATGGACAGGTAAATCACCAAG